ATGCATTCCTGGAATGTTTTTAAACTGTCCGCGTTGCTCGGCGCGCACCACGGCACAGAATCCCCCAGCTGTACCGTATAATCCATAAAATTCTTATATCCAGAGTTCCAGCAGTAGGTTGGCAAACTTTTAAATTTTCCACCGTGCGGCGTGCGCGCGACTCAGCTTTCTAGATGGGACGCGGGCCGCTACTGTTTCGCACCTCCCGGAGAGATAATTAGTCTTGAAAATGCTTCATTCTTGAAAGTACATTATTGCGATACACTAAAAAATCTACAACGCGCGTTAACTTGTCGGATTACCAATCTACCTTCGCGAAATATATGGCCGGAGGGGGTAGCCGGTGATCTAACGTGAAATATCTTAGCGCTTGACCAGGGTCCTTGGTCTCTCTTCGTCAAATTCGCGGGTGAAACTGATAAAACGAGGATCGGCGAAGAGGGTGCTGGGCGCCAGAAACGAGAAAACTCGTGTCCTCCGTTGCTTTAGGTCGGGTTTCCACGTGCCCGGGCGAGAAACCTTTGGCCCTTGAGCAAGAACGACCGGATTACCGTTTTCGGCTTTTATCCTCATGAGAACGGATCCCTGCTTTTACTACGTCGCCGCGCGGAATCCGTTTTTGATCCCGGTAAATGTGATAGGGAAGAAAAAAACTGATATACCCTGGCACGCCGCTGCCGCCGCCGCTTCTCTTCTGTAGGAAAATTCCCGGGGTATTTTATTAAAGGAATGCTGGATCCTGTAAAAGACCGTCAAGCGACGCTCCTCTGAACGGCAACGACGCGAGAAAGATAGATGCAATGGAGGTTCGATTATCCAAATTAGTATTCCCAGGTAAAGGAAAATAAGCGAGCCCAGTGTGCACGGTAATTTAGGTGGATAATACGTCCGTTGGTTTATCGAGTTGCGTTCGCTGGTGAGCTGCGATTAAAGTAAAAGGATGAATTCATTAAAGGTGCGCATTCGCTGGGTCACCGATGCAGTCGATTGGGCAAAGAACAATTGAATGTTTTATACAGTACGACGTATGCAAAAACAAATTTAAATACCGGTTTTATTCAAATAAATATAGCGTATATAATTTACGTTCGCGTTGTTTGTGCGAAAAATTGTCAGAGAAAAGATGAAGTAAAGAGGATGTTACTCCAAGGGAGATCTTTATCCTGTTAATTAATTTAATTCTAAAACATTTCGGGCACAAATCATCCTATAGATAGTGCTTTTCTTTCATACCGCGGAATGAAACTTCTCGTCCACAGGAAAATGTAACAATTCATTATATTATTTGAAGGAAAACACACGATATACCTCTTTCCTATCATCCAAAGGCGGGCATCGAATTCCATCATCCGTCTACTAAAGATTGTCGAGAGTAACTGACACTGACCAAACAATGGCCGAAGACTCGGCCGTCGATATATTTGTTAAAGACACTTTTTGCCGGGTTTCATGGAATCTGGACAAAGCATACCTGCTAGGAAAAAGGAATTCGTCTGGTTGTGTGTATGTGTGTGTGCCTGTTGCGGTCAGGTATGCCGAGAACGGTGCTAGAGAAGTAATGCGGCCGGGTGGGCAACATCTCAAGAGACAAGGGGAATATCGCGAGGATATTTGCGAGACCGTTTCAATCCTGGCCACGCTGTTCAAGTTTTTATTTCGCGGAGCGAGGAAACGTTGGAAAGCCGGACGGACGGTTACGACGGGCACATAAGAACGTACAATGTATTTTCACCCTATCGGCTGCAGTCCTCTCACGGCGCGTCGATATCCTCCTGTCCCGAAGCCTTTGACCTCGGAATCGCCATTCGCTTTTAAAGTCCCACCCCTGGCCGTTTCTTTTCGACAGGGCTCTACCCGCCGTCGCCCCACGTCCCTTATCCGAATTTCTTTCAACCTCCGCCGGCGCAGAAGTTCGAAGTCGCGAGCCGGGCTCGCGATTGTAACTCGCGATTAATAAACATGTTATGTAAAAAAAATTGCAGAGGCAGCAGCAACGACCACCACCGCCAGGTTCGGGATTCGCCGAGGAAACTTTTAAAGTCGAGCCAGCAGTGTCGGTAAACTTTTTGCATGCTTAATAATAATGTCCCCGACGCCTCCTAATTGCCAGTTACACTATCGAGCATGAGAACAAGTCGACTTATTACGGTTGGATCGCCGTTGGTTGCCTAGTTTGGATAGATTTATCTGGCAATTAAGCAACCCTGAAGGGCTGGCCGACCGGGATGGAAGATTAAGACGGACAGAGAAAGAAAGGAGTACCTAACGTAGTTTCGAAGCGAGGATCCCAGGTAGGGGCAAAGTTTCTGTATTATTTTTTACGTTCCCCTCGAAGGCGTCAGGGCATCGCTCAACCCCGTTCAATTCGACCAATCGAGCTCGCAGTAGTTCGCATTCACCAGTCTCAATCTTGATTCCCTCGTGTTTGGCCAAGCCCAAAGATATATACGAGAATCCATTATGCGATTGGCGAGTTTAGGTTCCCGGTGGTGGCCTCATTCGCAAGATATATTCGCGCGGCAGTCGCTTCGAGAGACTCCCCGATCCTTCTTGCGCAATGAGCGGCATAAATCACCGTTTGCGCCGTTCAGATACGCGCGATATATCAGTGACAGACAGTATTAAAAAAAAAGGGAAGGGGAGAAGGAAAAACGGCGTCGAACTCGTGATATCCATGGCTGTGCACCAAAACTCGATCTTCGCGGTAAGCTCGAGCATCGACGCGATATAGCGGCGGAAATAAAAATTTTAAATCGATTTCGATCGATATTCAAAGATATTCGACGTTTCGTTGTAAATCAATCACGCTGACCAATTTCTATAGTCTCGATCACGTGACTATTGTTCGAACACGAACCGAAATATACCGGTTCAGCTTTATCGATTCGGGATCCACGTGATTCACTCGCGTAAATCGCAGAATAGCGTTGAAAACAAAAGGCACGAGTCTGCGTGTACAAGTGGAAGAGTGTAGGAGGTGTTGCGCTAAACGAAATCAATAAAAAGATTGATCCACTGTCAAGAGTGGCGCTCCCGCTAAATTGGCAACGCTGCGGCTGAACGGGCCTTAAAATCCCCGAAGGTAGGGCGAAAGGTGCCACGGAGAGGGTCGCGAGAAGAACATGAAACGGAGTGCGATCGGCGGTGAAGAGGAAGAGAGACGGTTTTGAAAGCGCACGGCACTGTTCGGGAGAGTAGCGGCGAAAGAGAGGATGAAAAGGGTGCTAACAGAGACAGAGTTATCCAGTAGGGTAGGGAAATATAGGTAGGGCAAGCGAGATCATGAAAAGGAGGAATGGAGAAAGAAAACCTGAAGGGAGAGTAGGAACACGGAAGGGTATGGAGCGGTAGTGATGGGTTCGAGGGATTTTGAATTGAGATATCGGGTCAGTTCACCAGATTACGAATACTGTCTAAAAGTTTCTATTTAAAGTAAACTATTTCATTGTTGCATTAATTGATAGACGAATTTGAGTTTGACACTTTCAAGTTTATACATACTGTTAAAATTAGAATGTATTATATATTGCTACAATTACAATATAAATATTGGATGCATGTACGTTATACATTCACTACATATATCTATGTATAGGACACTTATTTCATGCGAGACTATGATAATATACTTGATCGATGCACCTAAATCTTTGTTTCCTAGCTCAGTTCATTCCAAGTCGAGGACCCTAAACCATTTTACCGAGTACTTTGAACCTTTTGCTCACTCCTGAGTACTGAAATGGATTAATTGGAAATTTTCTAACACAGAATAGACAGGACACATACAAATATATCCTTTGCATACCACCAGTTGCTTGAGCTAAATCGATACTAGGACACACTAATGCTAAAGCCTCTAACACGAGATTGTTCGAAAACTCACGACAGAAGGGTGTTGAACGGCCATCGCTACACGCGGTCTGGGTTCGAGAGGGGAGGCAAGCGCAGGACGAGGGTTGGGAAAGCCGAAGCGTGGCTCCTCCGGGTGGGGGTAGTCGGTACCTCGAACGACTCTGTGGGTCTCGGGATCGCCCCGCCGCGCTCAGTCCGACCCGGACGTTCGAGGGAGACGCATCTGTCTTCCGTGGCACGTATGCGTCGTTCCGGTACGCACGTTGTCATCGTCCGTCGTCGTCGTCGTCGTCGTTTTCGTTGTCGTAACAGTCTACAGTAACGTACCACAGTCGACTTTCGGTGTCGCGAAACGACGTTCGATCGTGCGATATTCCCGGATAACAGGACACACTGACTGTGCTCTCGAACTGGAGAGGCGCGTTGACCGCATCGCACGAGGCTCGAAACGAAGGGTGAGAGGGAAGAAGAGAGAGAGAGGGAGAGTACACACTAGCACACCAGGGAAAAGAGGGAGAGAACGCGAAGAAAAAGCTCTCTCTCGCTTGCTCTCTCTCTCTCTCTATCTCGACTGCCTCACCGGCTTTCCACGGCCACGAATCGATACCACGCGACCGTCGCGGCGTCGGTCGTTCCTCTCTCTCGACCTCTTCTCGTCGTTCGCTACTCTTGCCTACGACCACTCGCGTCGATTTTTCCTCTCTGTTGACGTGCTTACCTCGTGTCCGTCTCCTCTCTCGCTTGCCGCCATTCCGTATCGACGATTTTTTCCCGGGAGCTGCATGGCTGCACATCCTCGTTTACCCTGTTCCATCGGTCGACCGCGGCGATCGATGATCGACGGTCGATAATCGCGGCGGCGGCGGCGGCAGATCGAGAAACGTTGTCAGCACTGTCGCGACCAGGCAACACCCGCCAAAACACCGACAGCCCGGCTTCGAACGACGGTCCTCGCCGACCTGGATAAAAGACGTGAAAAGGTGATCCGTGTTTTCAGTGCTGGCCAATACATAGCGGGCCAAAACACAACCGAGAACGACAAGAACGGTTGTCGATTGCGTGGCATCGTTCACAGTGTTTTTGTTTATTCGCGGAAGAGAATCGGCTACTGGATTTCTCTAGTGCGTTACTCTGTGGTGGCACGTGACGATCGACGTTTGTTTATACTGGTGCTTACTGTCACGGTTCAACCTGCTCGTCTACTCTCGACCTATCCCCGAGACACGAGGTACAACACCGGTTTCCCAAGGAATTGCTGAACGTGTTTCCAGTGTTCTTCGGGATTCTCCACTGTGGATCATCGAAAGAGTGAGTAAATGTATCATCCTACCGCCGCGTTGCGTTTGATACTCCGGTGGTTTCGCGAAAAAGACGAATCGAGGCTCGTTAGACCTGTCGCGGATTTCTCCCGGTAATTCCGGCCTGAACTTTGCGCCCGAATTATTGTGCTTGTAAATTACACGCTTGGCCAAGATCCAAATGGTCGATGCTGCTAATTTAACTGTACATTTTCATTAGCCCGTGAGCCAGGCTCGTTAATTCGAGAATCGCGGGACACGAGTCCGATAATTCGCGCGAACCTCGTTCGAGCTAAACGCGTTACACCCGGACATCTTCGTTGCTCGAACCGAGATTTGACTCGCGTGGTTGTGTTGTCACTGATTTCAATACGTTGAAGCGATTTACTCGTATTTCATCGAAATATTATTCCCTTTGTCATTTCGTCGGTGATGCTTGATGGACGGATATCCAATTTTGACAAAGTGTATACATACAATTATATGTTTTCTATACATTTCAAATAATTGTTTTATTGTGATGACAATTACCAGTGATGTAAATAAACAGTGAGGACGTTTGTTTATACAGAGAAGTATTTTGAAAAAAACGTTTGTTATGAAACTCATATTATCTATTACGTAACAAGATATATCGGAGCTTTAATTTTTTTCAATTCAATTATAATGTAGAAGATTCGAAAGTAGTCTATTTATAACAGTCCATACTTTTTACTTTCCAATTTATTTGTCACAAAAACAACATTACTGACCCGTTTAGAAATGTTTGGAGTTTGATTAAACTAGGCTCGTGCAATGTTTTCGACCTGTAGACATAAATATAGGTGGTCCTAAAGGTATCTGATCACATCACAGTCTTTAGACATTAGGTATTGGTATTGAAATTACTTGTAGTAGAAATTCTTGAACACTTCTAGTTCTGCTTAATGAAGTTACTTGTACCAAAGATAAAGTAAGCACTATGATATTTATATTTAAGTTTGAAATCGTGTGATATCGCGCAAACTGTATTTAATATTTCGGTTTGTTTGTCGCCCAACCGGACTCAACGTGCGACAACGTTCCTTGCGGTAAGAGTGAATTTCGGAGCTGATCGTTGGAAAATTCCAGAATAGGCTGAAATTTAACCGGGAAATCCTTGATCTAGCTGCTAATCGGCCAGCGCTGGGCCGCACTTTTTATGAAGGTATTTTTATCGCGCGCTTTGTCGTCTAAACGCGTGTCGACAAAGCCCATGACGGAGCGCCGCCGGCGACTTTATAGATCGTTTACACGGCGAGATGTTTTGTTCCGCAGCCGAGGAATTAATCGATCGTAAAGAGGCTAATGCGAACGATACGCCGGCCAGCCGTGCACCGGGGAACATTTGACAAAGGAAAGCGATATATCCATGCGGGCGTATTCTCTATTCTTGACTAGCTCTTGCGTTCTTATCGCCTCACAAAAGACTCTCTCTCTCCGAGTAAACTTTCGTCCTTGCCAATCCTTTTGACTTTGCTTCGTCCGAGATTTCGGCGGATCACGTATCGTGTCTGGAACGAAGTAAATGTAGTGAACTGTAACAACGCTATTTTTTTCTTTTTATTTAGAAAAGTTCCTTTTTTTATGTGAAAACGCAATTTAACGCACATAAACTTCGAAAAAACAAGTGGGTCTAGTTATTACTATGTTCACGGTCCCACGATCCTATATAGATCGTAAGCATCTTGCATTAGAATAGCCTGAGAGTTATTTTGAGGAAACAGTATGTGCAGCAATGCAGTACATAGTCTATTTCTTGGTGGAAAAACCATTCTCGAAGCTGCAAATTTGGAGTGAATTCTTGTACATTAGGAAAGAAACGAACCACAGCATATCTCGTGTTTCGCTCGTATCCTTCTTCTTTATAGCCCTTATGGGTTCTCCATTGTCTGTTATTTGTTGTCTATATTACTGAATCGAAGCTGATCAAATTTCGCAGCCTCGTATTGACTCTGTCTAAGAGCGTCTTTCTCACGATGTTTCGCCATTGTTGTATCGTGTCTTACGGAATTAGAACGCGAACAGCGGCGCCTGTATAGTTTCAGTTTTACCTTCTCGAGTGACACTGTGTAATATCGAATTTCTACATGAAAATATTCCGATCGAAAACCGCTGCTCCTGCCGTTCGAATCTTTGAAGTGCCCGAGAAATTCGGAGCTTCGAGGGAATTCAGTAGAAATATCCGCGACAAATTGGTGTCAAAACACGAGACGCACGGATGGGGCCGTTCCATCGCAATCCTTTGGCCGGAAAGTTAAACGTTCCGTGTTCGAAAGGAGCTTCAAAGACGGTTTCCACGAATCTAAAAGGAAATTAAACGGCGCGGCGTGTCGACCGAAACACCAATATCGTGGATTACCATTTCTCAAAGACGAATCGATTGCGTACGAGAAGTTACGTTCCATCGAACGAAATCGAAAAATCGGTTTCGTGCCCGCTTGTTAATAAAAGATTGGCGGTCGAACGTTAGCCGGAAAAAATATAGGGTTGAGAATCTGTAATTTCGTTGGTAGCCGGGATTCTCGAGTCTCTCCGACGTCTCATTAGATTTTATCGTGCAGTGGCCTCCCACGGCTATACCGGAGCAGCGGATACTTGAGACTTTATTCTCGGCCGTAGTCGGGTCACCGAAAGTTACATACTTCAGAAAAGTCCGGCCAGATTCTGCTGTCGTTCACGGGGAGACGGCGAACTCTGCCTGTAACGTTATTACGGAGTGCACTGTCGCTTTTGATTACATTTACGTTGAAATTTCAATTAAATTGGTGGTGATACGCGATACTGTAGCTTAAAGTGAAAAGTAGCCGATACATTTGTTATAGACATATAAGAATCTCGATAAACGTCAAATTGTTGGATTCACCGTATTTTACTAGAGGCTTCTGACAACACAATTCTACTCTATTTAATTTCCTACAGCGATGTCTAATAGAAATTATAATTTTGTTTGTGTACTGCGGTTGCGTTGTAGTTTAGTATACCATTATTCAATAGAAATCCAAATAGGAATACAATAATGATATTTTAATTCATTACATTTGATCTCGTGGAGTTAATCAGTTTGGCCTCTGAAACGATCCAATCACCGTTTAGGAAGGGAGTTGCAAGTTTATATTTACGTAGGCGCAAGCTGTGACAATATGTGTTAACCGTCAATTACCCAGCAGATTACATCGAAACGCTTCGGAGACGCCGAGAGTGTGTGACGTTCGTAGCTTCCCGTCCCGGGAAACGTCACCCTAATATTTTGAGCAACGGATTTAGGGGTTTAGTACCGGTGCAGTAATTTTTCTTTTTCCGTCGCTCGAACTGACGGGTGGTGGTTCGGGATGATCGAACGGGAAGAAGTGGTCCGTTTTCGTCGCGGATGCGACGAGCTTGCGACGTATTTATTTTTAGCCGGTGGAAGAAGGAAACACAGAGGAGAGACGGAACTTTGGCTTATTGTTGGATTCCGTCAAGTTTGTTCGCAAGTACGCACCAGGATATATAAAGTTTCCAGCACGGTAGTATCGCGGGGTCCCTCTCTGTCTCTCTTCTTCTCTCTGTTGGTGCACTTTAGCGCGCTAAGTACGAAAAGACAATATTGACCTGGTCGTTTCTCCCCAGAGAACTTTATTTTCAAGGGCCTCCGTTATCGGCGGAATCGCTGAATTAACGGACTGTACGACCACTTTTTTCCATCCCGTCCATCGAATCGTTAACATATTCCGCGATGTTTGTATTGTCGATTTTTCATCACGGTATATCCAGAGACGCCGTCGTGCGTTTATTCGTTCCGCGACGCGCGAAAAATCGATCGGTCGTTCTCCGTGAACCCTCGTAATCTGTTCATCGTTACGTTTTTAACGAGGTATGCAGGCAAACTCCTCGCGACTCATTTATACATGTACCTGCCTCGCTATAGCTGTCTCTCTACTTCGAACGCTTTGCAATAAAGGTTAAACCTGAAACTTGTTTTCAGACAGAAACACGGTCACCATGAAATAGAGATCTCACCGAGAATTATGAGGTAGAAATACATTTCTGTGTGCCCTTCTGCGTTTTCGACGATAAAAAATTAATTAACCCGCTGGATCAGCGGTAGGTACTCGTTTATTTTAAGTCCTGGTATTAGAGAGAGATTACTGCACTTCCGTTTCTTGTTTGACTTATTAATAGTGAGGAGGCAAGTGGAAATAAGTGCGGTTTGAAAGTATGTATTAGTTCGAGTTACGTACGTAAAGTTTGCTTACACGATGGTTTGAACTTTAGGTGTTATGGCTATAGAAAGAAAAACGACTATTCGCGTCTAATGTTTCAGTGGATCGAGGAGAGAATCACTAATTGATTTTGTATCTCTTCGCTTCTTTCGAACAATGTAAGTAGAACTGATGACGTGGTGGGTGATTTTTATAGTTCCTTTAGGGCTATCGTAGGTCCTTCTGGTTAGGGACGAAAGGAACTTTAGCGGCAATCATCTGTGTATGAAGGGCGATAAAAATGTTCTTGGGACTATTGACGAGTGTAACTAAAAAATTCCACTTTTCTTCTCACATAGACGGGCAAAGAAATTTTCCATTTTATGAATCCATATATGCAGTAAATCGTTACAAACGATAAAAAGAACTACAATAGTTTAACACGATATTCCGACCTACCCGCGTCAAGTGAAACAAAAGTTGCACGTGCCGGCCAGCGTCGTACGGCAAGGATCTAATTGACCGTACCCTTTCTCTCCTCATAAATATCTAAGGGTCGGCCGACCCCCGGGTTTCTCTGAAAAGAAGCTCAGTGAACTTGTCCCGTACGGTTACGGGACGGGACGGGACGGGACGGGACGGGACGCGATGCGATGCGACGCGACGCCAGCGTACACGTACGCTTATTTAAATACCAAATAGACCATTCCCCGCGAGTCTCGTGGTCTGTGATTTTCGTGGCGGCGGTGGCGTCGCGACGAGGGTTGGACCAACCCCCTGCCTGATTCCCGAAGGGTTACGGACGGAG